TTAAGTGTTTCCAGGTATGTTTTTACCGGTTTTGCAACGTGTGGGCGAGCATTGTCGTGCAGCAAGATGACTTTATCGTGTCTTTCGAAGTATTCCGACCGTTTTTGCTTCAATGCACGGCTCAAGCGCATCAGTTGCCGTCGGTAGGGATCTCCAGTAACGGTTTCATGCGGTTTTAGCAGTTCGTAGTATATGACACCCTTCTGATCCCACCAAATACAGAGCAGGAGCTTTGAGCCATGGATATTGGGCTTTGCCACTGATGTTGATGGTTCGCCGGGCTTAACCCATGACTTTCTGCGCTTTGGATTGTCATAATGGATCCACTTTTCGTCACCGGTAACAATCCGATGCAAAAAACCTTTTCTTTTCTGCCGTTGAAGCAGCAGTTCGCACGTGAGAAAACGTCTCTCAATATCCCTTGGTTTCAATTCATATGGGACCCAATGTCCTTCCTTCTGGATCATGCCCAAACTTTTAAGACGTTTTCCTATTGTTGAGAAGTCAACTTCCAATGACGTAGATAATTCTTTAAGTGTTTGACATGAGTTTTCATTGAGCAGTGCCTGCAAATCGTTATCTTCAAATTTTTTCGGCTGACCAGGTCGCTCCTTGTCATCCAAGTCGAAATCACCAGCTTTAAAACGTGCAAACCACTTCCTACACGTTTGCTCAGCCAGAGCATGTTCACTATACACATCCACTAAAATACGATGAGCTTCAGCTGCACTTTTGTTCATATTAAAGTAATGAAGCAAAACTCCCCGCAAAAACACTTTATCTGGCACAAATTTTGACATATTCAATGAATTATACAGTATTGTTATTTATGATTTCAAGAAAGGTTATGTACGGCAAATGACGTCCTATGATAGATGTTTACAATGTATACAGAACTATAGGTAACAACGAAATAGTGTACTGCTTGTGCCATCTCTTGTAAAACGCTACGAATTAATTCCAACACCTAATATCTCGGCTGAGAGTCGAAACCAGACCTCTTGCATTCTGTGCGAACATCCTAAGCCTTTAGACTATCGAGGCTTTAGTAATATTCTTCGCAATAATTGACATATGAAGAAATAACATTTCTTTAGACGACGTAAATAAATAATGTAATATATTGTAGTATATGTGATACTATATATGTGATAACTATAGTTTGTTGTCACCTAAAGAGACTCATATGCCAATTATTGCAAAGAATATTAGTACATAAATTCACACAAAAATCATATAAGCATTTAAGATCCAGTTAGATCGTTTAAGACTTTGATTTCTATCATTTTTTATGTATTTTTATTTTGTGAACGAAGCTGACTATCACATATTTGAGGCAAAGCATTAAAGAAGCAAAAAATGACGATTAAGATTTTTGTGACATTGTAGCTCAAAGGGAATTTTTTAAAATTTCATTAATGATACACGAAAGTACCATTAAAATTTCTAAATTTAAAATGCATATTATTATAATATTATATAATTTTTCAAAATGTCTTTTTGATGAAACACATGAGAAAAAATCTATTGCCAAATTGCTATTTCATGAAAATAAAAACATATCGGAACAAAACAAAATGCAAAACAAGTTTTAAAAGTTCTTGTCGTATCGTATTAACAAAAATTTAATTTAAAAATTTTTTAATAATTAATATAAATATTTGTTATTTATAATTTTATGAAAACTTTTAAATTTGTCATTTTAATGTCATTATTCTTGAAATTGTAATGTAATTTGGCTAACAGATTTTTTCATGTTCCGCAAGCAAAAATAATTATTCACACTCTGTTGGAAAATGATGTTGGACAGTATAATAGCAGTATAAGAATTTTAAAAACTAACAGGTGTACTGTTGATGTATATTTAGTTACAACTTCTTGAGCATGTACATCCACACCCATTGCTGTTTCTGTAAGATAATAATTAGTATTATTGATAAACCCTTTTGTCACATTGCTTATAAAAACACAATTAAAATTACCCTTTATATAACGCTTTTTACGTTTTCATAACTACTATTTTTAAAGATGCTAGAAAGTTTGCGAGTTTTTGTTCATTGCTAATGCTAACATTTTGTGAACCTTGCCGTTCACTTTGTCACTAATACTAGATATTATAGTATCAGTGCTCTCCTCACCCTAATAAAACACGGCTATGATCGCAAATCTTCTAGCATTTTTACCGTTTATATATTTTTTTTATTATTCGTAAAATAATTGATAAAGTTTGCATAAAATAATTATATCAATAAATAAAACGTATTTCTCAAAATATTATAATTATATACATTGTAATTAAAAACATGACACATTTTACCGCAGATAATATCAAGAGCAGCATTGATAATAAAAGGAAAAATATTAACGGCTTTTCCTGGCTCCTTTTCTATCTCTTTTTGGAGACATTTTGTCAGAATCTCTGCTTTTTCAAACATAATTCCAGCAAATTGATCTAATATATTAAAATGGAACGTCGGCCCGATGAGTTTTCTATCGTGGAACCATTGTTCATCTAAAATAATATTAAAATGTGATATACATGTAAAAACAAAATTATAAAAATATCGCAAAAGGTGAAGAGAGACTTTTACAAAAAAATACTTTTTAATTTATAAGGAAATACTTCCACGTATAAATTCCATTATTTCTATTGTGTAATTTATAAATTTCGAAATAATTTCGGCAACTAAAAAAACTATATTTTGCTAAAAAGCAAGAATTAACAAAATAGAATTGCTAATTATACGTAAAAATTTAAGTATATTTGATATATGTATGTTTTTGCTTACATCGAAAATATAATAATTTATATCGATGGAGCTTATATTTATAAATGATGAATTTTGCACTTATTAGTTACCATTCATTGTATATCTGTTTACCCAAGTAACAGATTTAAATAGATTTGCTTTTATTCTGAGATTTACACTTGGAAGTGGTTCCTTATCAATTAAAAAAAAAGTAGATGTTTTTGTTATCGCTTCTTTTTGATATTCTGTTTTCCTTACATGTTGATTCTAGATATTAGCGATGCAAGATAAAAAGTTCGCGAAACACTGCACAATTTTCTAGCACGTGAACAACATAAATAATCAGATTAATTATACAGTCAAACTCTCTAAATTCTTTGAAATAAAAATTGAACCTGTCTTGAAAAAGAGTGACTCAATTTTCAATTTTTAAGAGTGAGATTTCGTTCTTTAGAGTGAGTTTTCATCCTAAAAGTTTTAGAAAGAATGTATATTTACTATAACGACTAAAATATATTCTTTTCTGTATTGAAACACAAATGCATACGTTTACATAGAAAACAGAGATCTTCTTTTTTATCTTATCTAAATATTTTCATAAATGATTATACATTAAAGTAACGTACATAATAAAAATAAGCCAAGGCTGACATTTGAAATATTTTTATTTAAAACATATTATTTAAAACATATTATTTGCAATACAAGTGTATTTTGTTTTTCAACGAGCATGAAAGGGAGGAGCACATGAAAGTATTACGTATTTTGTATTTAAAATTGAAAGATTGAAAATTTTTTGGATAAATGTTTACTTTAGAGGAAATTTCTCTGATGACCTTGACGTATGTTATCATGACTCTGAGTAATCTCCAATAGGTTTTAGCCAGTTCGTTCGTTATTTGTTAAAAAGTTATTAAGAAGAAAAGTTTGAAAAATGATTTTTTTTTATTATACAAAACAAAAATTTTCTGCTTTAAAATATATTTTACGACTATCTATGCGAACCATAGACAACTCTCACCGCACTTTCTCCCGGTTGAGAGGTGCACGACTTCCACAGGAAGCGACTTTATCCGACTCCTCCTCTGCTTCAGGGGCGCACGCACGACTTCTACGCGAAGCAACTTGGCGAGATGAGATAGAACTTGCTTCGCATGAAAAGTCGTGTGTCTCTAAGCAAGAGGGAAGTGGTCGTTGAATGAAAGTCGTTTGGCGTAAAAAGTCATCTTATATAAGCAAGAAAGGTATAGAATAGTCTTTAATATTATATATATATATTATATATAGCAAAAATAAGGTACTATTTTTTCCAATTTTTTTTTGTTAACAACTTTTTAAAGAATAACGATGGCCGTCCAACAAGTTTTAGTCGACTGTTGGAGGTTATTCAGGATCATGATAACATATTTTAAGGTCAAGGTCGAAGAAGTCTTCCCTAAAGTGAATATTTACTATTTTTTGTATACTATAATTTAAATAATAAGATTGATTGTCAATCTTAGTATTTGAAATACAAAATATAAAATATTTTTATATATTCCATATAATACAAAATACAGAATATTTTCATGTGCTCCGTTAAAACACAAAATACAAAATACAATTGTATTACAAATACTTTTTTTTAAATAAAAATATTCTAAATACACGCCAGCCCTGAAACAAGCTACTATTTATTTTTAATAAAATTCTAAATGTAAGAGAAAAATAAATTTGTAATAAATATGTGAGAAAAATAAATATGGTTTATTGTGCGTTTACCTGTAGATGTCAAAAGTCCGTTGCCCAACCAAGGTTTCAACATATCATAGAAATCTCCTTTTGTAATATTTACGGTGCTAGGAAAAATATGCTATAAATGTTTGAAAAAAATATAATCCAATAATATTCAAAAAAATAATATAAAAAATTTTTTATTTATAATATACACTTACCCACAAAAAACGGATCACTAAATTTTAGCACAAATTTTTATATATTTTAATATATAATATATTCTATAGAGTAGCGATATCTCAATAAAAAAATCATCATAGTGAGATGTATGTGTGTGTATGTGTGTGTGTGTGTGTGTGTGTGTGTGGGGGGGTGGGGGGGGGGGGGTGTGTGTTTCTCTCTTCTTTTTCTCTCTCTCTCTCTCTCTCTCTCTCTCTCTCTATTTTATAATACACTTTGTATAATTCAAATTTGATGTATGCATTATTAATGAGAATGTTCAAATTTTTTAATTTAAACTTTGATACATCTCGCTATGATTTTTTTTAGATATCGCTACTCAAAACATTAAAAATTTATGCTAAAATTTAGTAGCCCATTTTTTTTGCAGATGAGTGTACAACAAATTTTGAGTGCTACAACAAATTTCATCAGTTATAAATATCAAAAAAATTTACTGATTATTAACTCTAGTAAGTCATTCATGGATTCAACGTTCCCTATTTTTACATTGCTGTAACTTTTTTATAATATAATTTAAAGACCCGGATTGAGAGAAGAAGACTGAAAAATCTTTAACTGTCCATAGATATGATAAGCCTGCAAGGATATTTTTTGTGCGTTATTTTCGATGTGAGAATGCATGAAAGTTCAAAGAGAGTACCAATTAGAATTAGGACCCATACGTGACTAACTTATAAGTTTTCGGCGTATCCCTGGGTAGCCCTTCATTTTTTATTAAATATATGTTTACTGAGTTTCGAATAGTATAAAAATAAGTACATGAAAATGTAGAACTAAACAAAATTATATTTTAATATAATAAATAGTAGAAATTTTTAAATTTTTGTCAGTCTTCGGAGATCGCTCGGCCGGGGTGAATTTATTGCTTTGGAGTGTTGCATTATCCTCTCTAAATTAAATCCTAATAAACTTATTTATACATACTACAATAATATTTATACACATATAATCCTTTATCTATCATTTTGTATTGTATATTTAAATAATAAAATTTTATTTATTAATTGTAAACTTATAATATAATTTATAATATGTATAGATTTTTCAAAAATGTCGATTTTCGATAATTTAAATAATTATTTGTTTTTTTTTAGCGAGTCATATCGTACTATCTTTTTTTTTATAATCCAAAGTTTCAACTATTATAAAAAAATCCTACGGGTTTTTCCTTGAACATTAAATTTTAAAATTTGAGAATTTTTTATCCAAAATAGTCATTTTTACGAATTTTTCTAACAAAAATTCTTTGAAGCATTGTTAATAATTAATTGAAAATAAAATATTATTAATTTGATTCATATTTATCTGTCTTTACCTGATTTCGAGGTATAAATTTATTGTTTACGTTTTAAGATAAAAAATACATATTCAGTGCATATGATAGATATAGCGTGACAAAGTTGCAGGACACAAATTCTGGTGTGATAGGGAAGATAACCAAAAATAATAATGATTTACTAGGGTTAATTTTATTTATTAAAAGCTTTGTGTTAAATTTATAATTTATTTCGCTATTATAAAGAAATCTCTGTTGTTCAGTAACAATACTGATATAATAATAGTGACGTTGTAAAATTCGATTTATTAAAAGTAATTTTTTTATAAAAATGTGAGTTAATTTTTTTAAATATATTTACATACAAGAAAACTTTTAGCCCATTTTCTGTTCTTCCTTCTTACTAACAAATAAGTATTTATACTGTACTAAATAGCAAAAAACTATATAACAAAATTTTGATTACTACACATTATAGATAATAGAGATAATAGAGACAATAAAAGGATTTCGCTGTAATCTTTTTCTTCTTCTTTTAATTTTTACTTTTAAAACCCGTTTAATAATAAATTTATAAAAGCAGTTTGTTATATAAATGCTTGAGAATATTTTATATTATTACAATACACAAAGATGCTGTTTCTTCATGCTTAAATAATGTATTAATTATTATAGAAAATATAACGGATGTTATTTTCTATTAATAAATTTTATTTACCTCCAAGTATTCTGGCTTAAATATGTTAATATTAGGGGTGGCTCCAATATATTGTATGAATATTCCTTCTTTACAATTCTCCATTATCGTTAGAAACAATTTTAGGCGCTCTAATAATGAAATTTATTAATTATTATACTAATAATTTATTATTATTTATTTATATAGTAATTAATTTAATTATATATATTTAAATATTAAAGTTTTAAATTTAGAGCTCTCTCTTCTCTTCTCTGGCTATCTCAAAACAATATATTGATTGAATTATGTTAGAAATGGAAAATGACACACATAAATTAATTGGTACGTACAACTTTACTTTTTAGTTTTCTTTTAAAACTCTAGCGGTATTTTTTGACATTTCAGAAATGTATCGTTATTTTAGCAATTATATTTTACACTTCTACATATGTACAGTAACTCATTGGACAGATGTTTCAGTTTACCACAGATTTGACAGATTTAAAAATTATGAAAATATGTTTTTAAGGAAAAACTAAAAACTAAAGCTGTATTTACAATTAATTTATTGCAAGTTATTTCCCGTCTCTGACGACAACAAATATGATATCCCGAGATAACCAAGCTTTAAGCTGCGAATATAAATATATAAATTGCATTGTATAACAAAATAATGAAAAAATCTTATATAAAGTTCTTTACCATAATCTGATAACCTCATTAACTTAAATATCGAACCAATAACAGGTGTGGGTAAGCTTTTGAGTTTCTGTCGAATAACATAATAATGATGCAATTTTGGCAGAAATGCGAAAATCACAACGATGCAAAGAGTACATAGTGTCAAAAAAATTAAATCCATTGTCGTAATCTGCGAACACTTCAAATAAATAGTTTATCGAACAAGTTCATTGTTAGATTTGCTGAAGTGAGACATTAATATTATTACTACATTAATATTATTAAGAAATTATATTAATATTGTTAAAAAGTTATAGTATCTCAATACTAATTATGTGCAAAAATATATTTTTAAAATATTTGAGAAAATATTTCTCAAAGATATTTTCAATTATGATAAAGACGATGACGCATGTATCAGAAAATATATTTTATGTCAACAAATCTTTTATCTTATATTTATTTTATTTTGCTTTGTATTTTCATTGAACTTTTTATAAATCTACAATAAACGTACTCAGACAATGCCGAAGGTTTTCAGAAATATCTCAGAAATATTTCAACTGAAAAGTGAAACATTTCATAAAAATTGCGAAATATGTCTGCAACATTTCTGAGACAGCTCTGGAATAACAAAATGTTCGCGATTCTTGCACATGAAATCTTGTTGGAAGGTTGATGAAATGTCAGAAGGAATCTGCAATCTTTTTGAAATATTACCAAAAAGATTTCAGTTATTTCTATACATATAATACTATAAAAATGATATTTAAATATTTTTGATTTAAATATTTTGATTGATACTTAAATAATATTTAAATTTATTATATCGACATAATAAATTTAAATATTGTTATCAATTTTAAACATATATTTAACTATTATTTCTAAAGTACTTAAAATTTTTGTGATAGATTACAAAACTGTTTATAGATTACAAAACTTATTGAAATAAACTTAAAGTTTCTATTATATTATTAGGTGTTGGAATTAATTCGTAGCGTTTTACAAGTGATGGGAAGTACTTTCATTAATATATTTTTTAATGCTCATGTGAAATAAATAACATTCTTTCATTAAAAAACGCTACGAATTAATTCCAACACCTAATATATTGCGATACATGAATTAGTTGTCTAGTAAATAAACAAAATATTTGTTCTGTATCTTTGTAACTAATCAGTAAATCGCAATGAAACTTTGCATAAATTATTTTAAATATTTAAAGTACTTATAAACTTATAAAAGAAAAATGTAAATTTTTAAATAATTTTTTAAATTTTCATTTTTAACAATAAAAATAATAACAAATAAAATAAATAAACTGTACAAATGTGTTATAAAACAAAAATATAATCTTATTCACACAACTTTCATATGTATATAGTTTATTTAAAGTATGAATATTAAATATACTGCCAAATTTAATTTCCTTTGCAGGGACTATACGTCTAATATATCTTTAAAGTAGAACAAGTCACTAATATCAAATAACGTTAAATTGAATCGTAATTGACCAAAAAAAATAACTTTTAGTAAATTTTAAATTTTAATACATTTTAGATTTTTACTTCGTGATATTTTTTTTGTTCTGTTTAAATATATTTTTCAATTTATTGCATATAGGCCAGTCGCTCGAGGTTTTAAAAAGGAAGAAATTATTTACAGATACTTTATTGTTTTAATCGACAGTTTGAAGTATAAAAAGACTAAATTTAAAAGTGCTACAACATTAAGGGAGGCACTTGGAAGTAATTAAGCAATAAAGTTTTTTTTTTGGTTTTTCGATTAAAACTCGAAAACGAAAAGAGATATTGAAAAATGACAAGAGAGCTTTTTTGTTGCTGCTGAAATTTCCTACAAAATGAGTTTAGAAAATTATCGTTTTAACAATTATATTTGTTCTACGGTTTCTTTTCAATAAATTTAATTTGAATATTGAGAGATATTCTTGAACAATTTGTGCATCTTGAACAGCGCTTATTCTCGAGCCTTCTATAATATTATTATTTTTAAGTTAAGGAACCGTAATATTCAAATTTTTCTATATTCTTTTTTAATATAATAGATTTTAGAAACACTTCTGTTAAAATGTTTCATATTACATATTGCAGAATTCTTTCAAAACTGTTGCACATGAGATATGAAAGTTTGAAACATTTCTGAAAAATTTTCCACAATAATCAGTGCTGTATAGATAGAAATAACGGACAGAGACATAGCATTAATTATATTATTAGGTGTTGGAATTAATTCGTAGCGTTTTACAAGTGATGGGAAGTACTTTCATTAATGTATTTTTTAATGCTCATGTGAAATAAATAACATTCTTTCATTAAAAACGCTACGAATTAATTCCAACACCTAATATAATATATACGCATTGTGTGTATGTGTGTAAATTGAAAATTCTAACAAATTTTGAGTTAATACCAGTTACAAAAATTATTATTTATCAGACCTAGCTATGATTTTTTTATATAATAACCATTATGACAAAAGGTAGGATATAAGAAGATGGCAAAGAGCCAATAACGTATAAAAGAATTTTTATTTAAATAAGCAAAATTAATACAAAATAATTAAAATAAACAAACGTTTCAACTCCAATCGAATCATTTTCAATGCAATCTTACAATAATATAAACATCGTTCTAAATTAAAAATCTGTACATAGTCTTACAATATTCTTACAATTTCTTAATATAAAATTTTTTCTTTCTGTGTAATACGCTGCGAGTCATTTTTATCAAGAATTAACAAAGTCATTAAGAAAATTCTGGAAAAGTAACCGTAAACAAAAAGAATTAATATTAATTACATAAAAATTAGTAATATGATAATGTACCTTAGTAAATACGTTAAGAGTCCAATAATACACAACGAGAAAAAAATGTAGACTGTAGCCCATTTCGTGGTACAATATAATAGTCTTTTTATTTTATAAGTTATTATAAGCAAATTTGCAAAGGAAACAAACATCTGATTTGCACGATATCAAATAACGAAATGTCAAGCAGAAAAATATTATTGAGAACGAAAAACGGAAAAATAGGGGGGAAAAAGAAGAGAAGATATTAGGAAGGAGAAAGAGAGTATAATGTCAGAATACAATTCTTCGGCAAAGACTCCGTGTCATTTTATCTATTTATTCCATGTTTCTGTTTTTTAACATGGACCATTTCAGATATCAATCTTTTATTATATGAAGGCTCTATATCTAATATATCCACTTTATCCCATTTAAAGTTATGATTCTCCTCAATACGAAGGTTGGAAATCACTGATGGAGATTTTGAAATTATATCAGAAACATGTTCGTGCAATCTGTCTTTAATTGTCTTTTAGTTTGGCCAACATAACTGACATCACAATCCTCGCAAGATATTCTGTAGATCACATTTTGATTCACATTTTGAACGTGTTCTAAATCATCCTTTCCTTTCTTTATAAAACTTCTTATGTTAGAAATGGTAAAAGTCAATTTACAATTAAACATGTTAACAATAGGTATAAATATTTCAGATATCGTATTAACATATGTCGCATAATCGCAAAAAATCTCTCAGCGTCATCCTTATTTTTATTCAAATTATTAAATTTATTAATGTGATATTTAATTCTATTATGAATAGTTGAAAAAATAGAACGTAACGGATACCCATTCTGTAAAAATATCTTAATAGCCGTCATTCAAATTATTTCGTTGGAATTTCGGATGACACAAACAAAAAATCTTATTCACAATTCCATAAATTACACCTCTTTTATGACAAAGTGGATGGTGTGAATGGAAATTAAGATTTCGTTCTTCAAATAATTCTTCAATAATCAACATCGTATCTAAAAAACTTATTTTTCCATCAAGGCCAATCTCCATGATGAACTACAATCTAGTGTGCAACGAATTAAAAATATCTCAAACACTCTCAGATGGAGCTAAGATAATATCATCAACGTATCAGATATCATTGATAATAAAATGCAGATAAGGCAGCATTCCGATAGCCATTTTTTCAAAGTCTTGCATAACCATATTTGCAACAACAGGTGACAAGGGTGAACCCATGGGGGTTCCAAATATTTGCTTGTATATTTTTTTATTAAAGATAAAAACCATAGAATTTAAAATCATCTGAAAGGCAATCAAAAATTCGTCCAAAGAAATTTTAGTCTTCTTGGATATAGCACCTTACAACCACACTATCAGATGCCAAATCTATAGGTATATTAGTAAATAAAGATATCATAAGGAAATTAACATAGAATCTGGTTCCAGTTTAACATCCTTAAGTTTATTAATTAAATCAAAGCTATTTTTTTTAAAACTAGGAGTCTCTGGTATAGAATCTATAATGATGTTATGCAGAAACAATGATAAATTATATAATGGGCTATTTAAAAACAATGACTTTAAATGTTCGTTAAACCATATATGCTCTAGGAATGAGTCCATCAGTCGTATGCAACTTCCGATACGTCAAGTCATCTATTAACTCTTTTCCTTTCCACCTACTAAGCATGTTACGTAAATCACTTACGTAAGTTTTTTTATATTTGTATTGTGTTTTTTTGTAGGATCTTTAGTTATCAACTCATATGTATTTTTATCCGAAAGTATCAATTCCATCTTGGATATGTAATCTAATTTATTTTGAGCAACAGTAACATTACCCTTATCTGCTTTAGAAATTAATATTTCAGGATGATTTCTAACAAATAATTTTGTTGTCTTAAACCAATCAAATAATAATTTATCATTCGAACCAATCTTAGGAAAATCATTCTGAAAACTTCTCCAGAACCGTATTATTATTGAAACCGTATTATTTCTAACGAAATTAATTATATTATTCTGCCGACCAATAATATTATTCTCAATATTCTTAATAAACTCAATTAATGTTCTATTAATATTATGTTTAGTAATAGGAAGGCCAAAACCTTCACCCAACTGAAGCAGATACTGGACTTCTATAGGAATGTCAATATTGCTCAAATTGAGGAACCATTTATTATTTAAAGAATCTAGAGGAGCCGCATCTCCAAACAGTTCAGCCGAAAAATCTCCATCAGTGATTTCCAACCTTCGTATTGAGGAGAATCATAACTTTAAATGGGATAAAGTGGATATATTAGATATAGAGCCTTCATATAATAAAAGATTGATATCTGAAATGGTCCATGTTAAAAAACAGAAACATGGAATAAATAGATAAAATGACACGGAGTCTTTGCCGAAGAATTGTATTCTGACATTATACTCTCTTTCTCCTTCCTAATATCTTCTCTTCTTTTTCCCCCCTATTTTTCCGTTTTTCGTTCTCAATAATATTTTTCTGCTTGATATTTCGTTATTTGATATCGTGCAAATCAGATGTTTGTTTCCTTTGCAAATTTGCTTATAATAACTTATAAAATAAAAAGACTATTATATTGTACCACGAAATGGGCTACAGTCTACATTTTTTTCTCGTTGTGTATTATTGGACTCTTAACGTATTTACTAAGGTACATTATCATATTACTAATTTTTATGTAATTAATATTAATTCTTTTTGTTTACGGTTACTTTTCCAGAATTTTCTTAATGACTTTGTTAATTCTTGATAAAAATGACTCGCAGCGTATTACACAGAAAGAAAAAATTTTATATTAAGAAATTGTAAGAATATTGTAAGACTATGTACAGATTTTTAATTTAGAACGATGTTTATATTATTGTACGATTGCATTGAAAATGATTCGATTGGAGTTGAAACGTTTGTTTATTTTAATTATTTTGTATTAATTTTGCTTATTTAAATTAAAATTCTTTAATTTTATTGACTCGTTATTGGCTTTTTGCTCTTCTTGTATATTACCTTTTGTTATAAGTACAGAGCCTTTTTAATACTTTTAATAATCATTATGATTTTTTAAAATGTTTTTCGTATTACATATATAGTAGCACATAAATTCGTAGTAAATAGAATTCTATTCCTCTTAAGCAAACACAAATTATAACTCATTTAAATAAATCCACTAATTATTGTTTTATTACTCATTTTAGCAAAATGTTTATATATATATATATATAAGGCGTATGACTTTGCTTATGCGGTTTTTTTCCGAAATTCGAGGCTTTATTGTAAAAAACTGGTTATACATTTATGATTCAAAGTATTGTCCATCGCTGGCCACTACTTTTTCCCATCTTTCGGGC